GAAGGAAATGAAAGCTCAAAGAACACTACAAACCAACTAAACCTAACAAACACCTACAGACAATCCACCCAACAGCAGCAGAATTCATTCTTCTCCAGTATATGAAGAACATTCTTCAGGCGAGACCATGTTAGGCCATAAAACAAGTCATGATAAATTTTAAAAGATCAAAACCATAAAAAAGGATATTCTCCAAGCACAATAGCATGAAATTAGAAATCAGTAACAGAAGGAAATTTAGAAATTTCACAAATATGTGGAAATTAAACAACAGTCTTAAACAACCAATGGGTCAAAGGAGAAATCAGAAGGGCAATTAGAAAGTACCTTGAAATGGATAAATATGAAAACACACCAAAACCTATGGGATGCATTGACAGCACTGTTCACAAAAAATTAGAACATTAAAGACTTAATTCAACAAAACTCAAACCAATAACCTAACGTAACCTAGCCTTCTACCTTAAGGAAGTAGACAAAGTGCAAACTAAGCCCAAAGCAAGCAGAAAGAAGTAAATGATTAAAGGAGCTAAATAACTGAATCAATAAAACCAAAAATTTGTTCCTTGAGAGGATCAGCAAAGCGATAAGCCTTAGCTACATATCACCTTTTTTTTTTTAAATGATTCAGTAGAAGACAGTCTTTTCTTTTTTTTTTTTTTTTTAAAGAATTTATTTATTTATTTATACAAGCACTGGGTACAGTCAGAAGCACGGGAGGGTGAGAGAATTCACCAGAGCCAGAGCGGGGTGCAGAGCAGGCAGAAGGACCGAAGTACACTGCTGAGGGGAGCAGCGGAAGGCAGGAGAGGTCTGCACGCCATGCGGGACCCTCCTCTGGTGGCCGGGGAGCAGCCGGGGATCGAACTGGCGCCGCAGATCCCGGCGCTGCAGAGGCTGCAGGCAGCTTCTCAACCCAGCACTCAACCACTACGCCACCAGGGAGGCCCTACATATCACCTTAATCTTACTTTTGTTATCACCATTCCATGGAAACTGCATCTGTCCAATCCAAGGGCCACTGCTATTGTGAATTTACTTGATTTTTATCAGCAGTTGCCAGATTTGACCAATCCCTTGTTCATTTATCTCTCATGCCACTCTCTTGCTTCCCCTTACTTGATGCCCATTCCCACCTCTTTTGCTGGCTTATCCCCTTGCTTGATCTCTTATGTCGGAGTGTAAGGGCTCTGTTTAGGCTCTATTCAGACCTTTCTTACATCATCACATACCATGACATTAATAGCATCTCTATGCCAATGAACTCCCAAACCTGATCTCCAGCCAGGTCAGAGCCCTGAACTCTAGGCATAAATCCAGCTGCTTTTTTGTCATGTCTAAAATGGTGCCTGCATTGACACTTCACATTTTACATGCTATGTCAGTGGCAGCACTGGTTTTCTTTCCAGTGGCACCCTCTCTCCAATTGCTGAAGCTAAGTATCTAGGAGTTACCGTTCCAATCCGTAATCTGGAGCAAGTGCTGTCATTGTCACCTCTAAATCATATTCTGAATGTGGATTAGGATACCTTGCCATCCTAAGTCAAACCCCACCATCCTCTACCTTATTACTTCAATTGCCTTCTATCTTAGATCTCACAGATTGGCTCTCTCAAGCTCCACTTTAGTTGATAATTGGAAAAAAGTTAGAAACCTAAAAATGTCAAGACACTCATGCATACGGAATGGATTGGAACTAAGTACTACCAATTAAATGCACTAACACAAAATTCATAAAAGGCAATCTTCCTATTTGTATTGTTGTTGGTAAACAAGGTAATAGAATGCAAGTGCTTGGACAAAGTTGCTACACTTGGATTAGGCCCTTGTGGGTGTGAGTAGCAGTGTCAATGGTGGCAGGTTTCCTGAACTCTGGATTGCAACTCCTGTGGGCTGTCCTTGAACTCTATAGTCCAATGCTATTCCCCTATTATGACTCCAGTTCTCCCCGTTGATCTTGTAAACATTTCACTCCTTTAAATCCTTTCTGAATAAAACTCTAAAGTGACTTTCACCTGGCACTCAACCCTGGTATTTCTGATTTTCCTGTATCTACTCTTGACTACCTACATAATTCATTCTCCTTCCAAAAGAGAATCCCTTAAAAATATAAATCACATCATGTCATCTTGTTTAAATTCTCCAGTGGCTTCCCACCAAACTTGGAACACAGCTCAAACCCTTTAGTGTGGTCCCAAGTCCTTAACAATCCGCCTCTGCCCATTTCTCCAATAGCATCCTTCTCTTAATTCTTGGGATAGACCAAATTTTGCCTAGATTTTTATTACACAGTTCCATCCACAAGGCATGCTCTCCCCTCCATCTAGTCATTCAGATTAGTTACCATTTTGACAAACCCGCCCCCAACCTCCTCCAAAGCCACGTTATTCTATTTTGTCCTGCATAGCAGTTAGTGGTATCTAATTTTTTTGGTCATTGCGCACTATTTATTGACCACCTCCTCCAACAAAGTATGTATCATAGGAGCAAGGACTTTGTCCCCTTACAGCAGATCCAGGGCATATTATAGATGATGGATAAATATTTGAAAGAATAATGGGATTAAAATTTGCAAGGGATGTAAATTTTACTTTTATTAGTCATTCCAGTGTGTTAGCAAAAACCACAACTTATTCTTAAATATTAGGTTAGTTTGAAGGTAATAAATAGCCTTTTGCCATCTGGCTAACTTTGTACTCTAGTAGTACTTGAAAAATAGTCCTTTTTAAAACTAGCGTTGAAAACCTGGCTCTCTAAAAACCACTGATTTTAATGTGACTTAGGGGACAGGTGGTAAAGAGGGTGGATTTCATTGAGAACTAGTCTCATTTTTCTAAACTACTCTGATTCTTGTAATGGCATGCTATTAATTTTTAAAGATGAATGAACCAATCTCATTTTTCTCTTAACTCCAGTTACCTCTTAGCTCTATCTACCTTGCTGGTGGCCTCATACTTGCTAAGGTCTCTTGAGAAACAGCACCATCTACTGGACATTGACTGCTGTACACCTGTCTTGGCAATAGGCGGTGACTCTCAGCCTTTCCTGTGCAACTCTAAACTTGACATGTTAGATTTAGCAACTTAGGTTCAGCCTTCCAGAAGGCCAAACAAGAAGTTTAGCCACTCCAAAAATGCTGACAAAGCCAGAGAATTCCCTTTGCCTGAGGATTTGACTCTAAGAAGCCAATGTGAGTTGACACAAGATTGGAAATCCGTGCGAGTGGGAGAGAACACAACTAACAAGGCTACAACTTTGAGAGAACTTTGTCCACTGTGTTTTCTGCAAACAAGATGCTGAAGTAAGTTGTTTTTTTTTTTTTCCCCTCCTTCCTTTAAGGACCATAAATTTATCTGGGTTGAAATTCTACCATGCTACCTTTCTAGGCAAATTTTTCCCCTCATGACCCAGTCTCCTTTATCTCTCAATTTCTTAGTTTCTTAGGATCTAAAATACTCCACTCACCTTCTCCATCCCTTCCCTTTACACCCCACTTTGAAAACCTAATCCAATATTGCAACTTTCTCTAAATTCTTGAATCTATTATCCTGTCCTCAAATATTTAATATAAGCCAGATTTTCTTGTACCCTTTTTATCATGGACAGTAAATGCCTCTTGCTGTAGACTGAAGGTTTATGTCCCCCTCAAAATATGTACACTGAAATCTAACCAAGGTCATGGTATTTGGAGGTGGGCATTTGGCAGATCCCTCATGAATGGGATTAGGCCTTACCAGAGAGCCAAGAAATCTGTTCCACCCCTTCTGCCAACTGAGGTTACAGTGAAAAGACTCTGAGGAAAGGACTCACCAGACAATGAATTTGCTAGCACTTTGGTCTTGGATTTCTCTGCATCTAGAACTGTGAGAAATAGAACTGTGTTGTGCATAATTTGCTCTGGTCTCTGGTATTTTGTCATAGCAGTCAAATGAACTAAAATACCACTTCAGTTCTCTGCTGGATACATATTAAGCACCCTACTTTTCCTTAATTTCCTTTCTAATCTAGACCCTCGGGCATAATCTTCTCTCATTTCTTTCTTTTTTTTTTTTTTTTTTATAGAGGCATGTTTATTTATTTATTTGTTTGTTTGTTTGTTTGTTTTTTGTTTATACATGCACTGGGTACAGTCAGAAGCACGGGAGAGTGAGAGTATTCACCAGAGCCAGAGTGGGGAGCAGAGCAGGCAGAAGGACCGAAGTACACTGCTGAGGGGAGCAGCGGGCGGCAGGAGAGGTCTGCGCGCCATGTGGGACCCTCCTCCGGTGGCCGGGGAGCAGCCGGGGATCGAACCGGTGCCGCAGAGGTCGCGGGCAGCTTCACAACCCAGCGCTCAACCGCTGCGCCACCGGGGAGGCCCTCATTTCTTTCTTTTCAACTATTTCTTGACTATTAAGGGACATCTTTCCTGCCATCTTCTGATGAGCTTTATCAGAAATTGTATGAAGTTCAACATTTGTGGCTTTACAATCATTTACAAATTACTCCCATTCCTAAGACTTATTTAAAACTCATTTTCTTTTTTTCTGACTCTGGTATATTTTGTAGACCCTAGATTTCTTAATTAGTTACTAAAATAAAAATTATCAACATAAAATATTTTATTTCCCGTTCTCTCATATTTGCAACGTTATTTCCTTCCTTTATTCTAAGCATCCCGAGATTTATTCCTCCAGGATTCATTAGAATGATTAATTAGGAGAACAATTGCCTCCTTCAAGTATTATCTTATGTACCTTAAATATAAATTTCAAGAATCTAAAAAACCCCACTAATACCCTGAATGCTTACTATCCAAATGAAATAACTACCAATGTGATTAGCCATATATAACTCAGTCAATGATTTTCCACTGGCACGCATTAAAACACACACACACACACACACACACACACACACACACACACACACACACACACACCCCTAAAGCAAAAAATAAATTCTTATTCATTCACTGTCTCTTCAGTTTCTCTTTTGCTAATAATATTATGTGGCATAATTTAGGGACCTACATAAAATTGAGCGAAGAAATGTTTTTATTAATCACAGCTTAAAATTAACATGACATCCTACTGGAATTAAACTGGATAAATAATGCTATTATAAAATGTACAGTTCTCACATCCATTTCAGCAGAAAATATTATAAGGGTTTTTCTAGGTCTGATTTCAGTAAACTTTTTCCATAGTAAAGAGCGATTAACATATTCTCAAATTGTGCTAAGAAACGGTGAGAAAGGCAAGTATAAAATCTCTACTATCAACTGGCAGGATTAGGACTCTTGCTAAACCAGAAACACATTTCTATTTTAGCTGTTACACCAGTGCACCTTTTTCATTAATAAGGCAACTAACTGCTTGCTGAAAGTAACACAATGACCAGCAAGTTCCAGTAATAGATACTTGATTGCTCAAGACTTAAATGAGTTTCCTTTTCCAATTTTGCTCTTGTGGAGCAGAAACAAGTATCTCTGTTTTTTGTATACAGAGAAACTAATGTTCTGAAATGCAGCTACTGTAATCTTCTAACTCACAAAAAGGGGGATGAATTATTATCAGGAATGTCTTTAAAATACTTCCAGTTTTTAAAATAATACGGCTTCTAAATAATGTCTTACCAACATTTCTATTTGATAAACATATTTAACCTATAGTGTAGTAATTTCTTCTATCAATAACATTTTGCCTTCAATAAGCATTAGAGTTGTAATTTCAAACACTTCTACATATAAAGCATCTTTAAGTAAGTTTCTTCACTTATTTACTCCTTCCTTACTGAACTGAGATTTTTTTTTTTCCCTTATGTGCCTGTGAAGGGTAATCTGAACATACACATACATATGTGTGCATATACTGTTTTTACGTAAGTAACTTTCACTATTAGAGTAAAACTAGAGGGACAGCTCTGTGAGGACAACTCAATCTTCTTCAGAAGTCCTCCTCTAGGTTGAGGAAGGCAGGTACAGTTCACTGAAGGATGTGATGAGGCTGTAATAAGTCTTCTCATCATCTGTTAATCCTGCATTGCCCGGTCTCACCACCACAGCTACATGCACATCTGCTTCCTCAGCAGCACTGGCCTCTGTGAACATCAAAATATATTGTGAGAAATATCAAAATATGATGTCTGAGGATTTACTGCAAAGCACGGGGGAGGGGTGTTATGGGAATGTAAGAAACAAGATTTTCTCTCTGATTTGGTAATTGTTCAAGCTAAAATGTACTGATTTTTCATATCTAAAAATTCTTCCCTACTAACAGGAACAAAGCCATGTTTGTACACTTTTCATCTTACAGAGAACTAAACTATTTCCCAAAGGGCAGGTTGTCTATAATAATCTCAATGAAGCAGCTATGGGACAAAAAGCATCCTAAGATCTAATCAGGCCAAAATACCTGCTCCTCACATCCAGAGCCCAAACTTATCACACTCCATATATAATAAATATGGGTTAGACTGCATATCTTTATTGCCTGTCAGCTCAAATAGCTTATCTTCTAGAACCACAATTATCTGCATCAGAGAATCCCATGTCCTCCTTTAACATTCTATATTTAGGACTATCACAACAATATGATTTGACATGTTATTACCTGTTGCCTCTCTCTTCTTTGGACTGTGAGTGCATAAAGATCAGTGACTATGTGGTGGATAGAATAAAAATAGTACTCATCGGATGAAACGACATAGCTAGGTTTTACAAGGGGTATCTCCTCCAATATGCCTCAGATTATACTGCTCTCTCCAATTTCTTTCATTTCAGTACCTACTATGTTGTGCTAGATGCTACTCTAAGACCACAGATAGGTAAACGAAACCAAGCTCCTGCTTTCATGGAGCTGTGATTCTCACTTAAATATTCACAATAACTCTGAGACAGTGTTTCTATTCCCATTCTAAAGGTGTGGAAACTGAGATCTAGCAAGTGGTAGAGCTAAAATTTGAAGTGTCAGTCTGACTTTATGGTCTGTGCTCAAGAAAAAAGGTCAGCAAACTACAACCCACTGCTTCTTCAAACTAACGTTTTAACTGAACCCAGCCATGCCCATTCATTTGTGTACTTTCCGTGGCTGCTCTCCCACTATAAGGACAGAGTTGAATAGTTGTGACAGACTATAGGGTATGCAAAGTCTAAAATATTTACTATCTGGCCCGTTTCAGAACACGTTTGCCAACTCATGCTCTAAGACATTACTATTGGACCATGGACCAGTACTGTGGGGATCACCTGGAAACATGCTAAAAATGCAGAAATCTCAGGTCCCTGATGTGGAACTACTAAATTATTATCCACAATTAAACAAATGATTCTTCTGCACAAAGGGTGATCAGAAGTTTCAACTTCTGGCCATTTCCTTTTCTGGTTCGTAAGCATGATGACTGGGTGTTCATGCCGTTGTAAGATATGCCTCCCTCATACCTTGTTACGATGCCAGCACATTACCCTTTTGACATGAAAAGGAAAAAAAAAGAAACTTCTTGCCAGAAAACTGGCAAGAGATAATAAGTATGTATATACTGGAAGAATGTAGGAAGTCTTTGTAGGAGACTTGACACAGGTCCGTAGTCAGAGAGATGGTTTATGCTTGGACAGACAGAACAGGAAGAATTTGAAGTAAATGCTATGGAATTTAGATTTAGTGTAATAAGAAACCTCAGTAGTTTATCAGCCTTTGGAAAACAGTTGCAGTATCTGAATGGATTAATTACAGGACAGTGGTACTGAGAGACATAAGAAGCTCCCAGAGAGAATAAAAGCAACGGAGATATCTTTTCACCTACCTACCTCAAGTGTCTGTCTTCTGCTGTCCTGTGAAGGGCTGTTGCCTTCTCAGAGTAAAGTACTAAGGGATCCCCTCAGGTATTCTGCTATTGGCCCTCACTGCAGCAGAAGAGGCAAACTATCTTGAACTCACTCCTAGTTCCCAGTCTGACTCCTCAAGCGAAGCTTTCCTCCTGATTAGGAACCCAACACTCTTGACCAAGTTGAGCCATCACACCCACTTGAGACTGGACACTAGCAAGTGGCTATTCCACATTCAGCCTCCTGGGGCAAGTTTTGTCCCGAATCATCAACTTGCTCTGTTGGCATAGATTTAGTCTACTAGCAAAAGTCTTTTAGGTCTCTCTTTCATACCTAGTTATTATTTGGGTTATCAACTTAGTCCTCCACTCTGCCTTAGATGGCAGTCTGGGCAAGGGGTACCAAAACACAGTTTCAGAGAGAACAGAAAAGAGCAAGGCAGGCAGCCAGTTGTCTGGATCCACCCCAGCTACAGTCCTGCTGCCTAAGTGGGCATGGGGTTGGCAAAAGACAAAAGACAGGACCAAAACCCCCTTGTGGAAGACGTGGAATGAGCCAATTTCATCTTGAGGTCAATCTGGGGGTTATCTCTAAATTTAGGAATAATTTCTCTAGGGATTGCAACGTAAGGAAGTGGTTTAAGTGAAAAGCAAAATATCTGAAATACAGGTATACTATAATGAGAACTAGAAAAAAGGTGTGGCTAAAAATGTGACTAAAGAGTATGAAGAAACTATAAGTGGTCTTAGGGCAAGGGTTATAATTATTAACAGAGAATTAAAAGCAGAAGACAGAACAAGGGTCTGGGAATCCCAAGTTAGAACATACATTAAACCCCAGAATGCTTAGGACAGGCTGAATTTGTGAGGAGCTTCAACTACAGATCAGGTCTCAATTCTCAGCCTGCAGAAATTCACCATCAGAGTGCTAGGGAAATTAGAGGCAAACCATGGGATTCATTTCCAGTCACCCTTTGATGTGAATGATTTAAAAAAAACAAAACACAACAATTTGGAATATCAAATTTGTAGAAGCCCTTGCACTTTGAAAATGAGCCAAGCCCACAGGACAGGAACTGATTGCCACCAAACCTGCTGAGCTTTCAAAACTAAGATAACAAAGGCTGTGATTTGGTGCCATCTACTGAGATTAAAAAATACAGTCTAGATTTACCAAGGACTCAGATTTCTAACTAAGATATTAACAATTATTGAAGGGTCTAGTCTGTATGAAGCCTATTCTACCTCTTTTTCTAGAAAACATACCTTCTTGACAGCATCAGATTATCTTTGATGGTTAAGATTTTTTTAAGCCACTCAGCAAATGAAAGCTATTATATTAGCTTATATACCTATAACTCTTGCCTAACACAATAGACCAACACCTCAAGGGTCGGCGGCAGAGAAAGAATAAAGCGCATACACACCACCACAGATAAGATACATTTGCCAGCAGCCCAGATTTGCCTTTGGGCCCCATCTTGGAAAGCCCTAGTGACGGGGTGTGGGGGGATTACTCTAGTCCTGTGACAACAGACAGAATGGCAAGAGAGGAATATCAACAGACCGCTGAAGCTGCCTCCAAGGGGCCTGGCATCATGTGGAACCAAACAGCAGAAGAGCACCCCTGCCTCCCCTCTTCCTTAAAGCCCTTCCAAGGTTGCTGGCACAGAGACAGAGTGGTAAGGGCAGCTGCACAGTACAAAAGTCCTATTCTGTGGGTAAATGGAAGGTGTGATCTCAGCCCCAGAGAAATGTACATTCCTAGGTGAGTGGAAGAAACACAAATATGTCAAACTACCATCAAATGCAAGTGCAATTATAAACACACCGAAAGCTGGTCCTTTGGGAGATGCACAAACTCTAAGGAAAATGACCACACAATCATGAGCTGGAGGCCAGGTGGGGGAATTTGGAATGGTCTCATTAAGCAGGAGCTTCCAGGAAAGAACTGCAGACACTACCTTCTCCCAGGCACCCTCTGTTCTCCACTTGCTGCCATGTTTCCTCATTCACTGCCATTTGTTCTATAATTCATAACACAACTCATATTCTTACACAGATGCTGGAATGTATATTTTACATTTAGTCAAAACTACTCCTGAAATCACTTTGATTGACATTCAAGCACAGCTGTTTTGTGCATTTTAATTTTTTTTTGCATTTAATTCTTAGAGTAATAGCTTATATGTTAAATTGCCACATCTAATAAAGAAAGCCATGTTGGGTAAAGGATGTCTATCTTTTAACAAGTGAATAATGTGTTCATCGCACAGGGTACATGGGGGACTGAGACCATCTGAGAGAGGTGGAGATAAGCTTCCTACTCACCCTGGAGCAGTGCTTGTGAACTGAAATGATAATGAAGCAAAATCAGTCACACTCTTTACAGAATGTTCTCTGTTTTTTTCCCTACTGTGGAGAGCTGATCTCAGTGCTGTTATTTTGATGCAGGTTCAATATGACTTTATTGTTCTTAACTAGCCATGCACCTATCCTCATACTCTTATTTGTACGCTCCTTCCCACCTTTAAGTTTTCTTTTGTTATTTTACCATTACATTAGTGTGCGTATGTGTGTATGCACACACAAGAGTGTGCAGATGAATGGGTTTGAAACCATGGATAGAGTTAAAATGAGAAGAATCTTTCTAATGTTATTTCCCCACACACAACCCTGAAGGATGGGTAAATGGAGAGGGAGGTGGGTCAACTGGTAAACATTTCAAGAGTTCCCACCTAAACTGTGTTTAGACAGGCAACATGTTTGTAGTGTCAGGCTCAGCTCCCATCCTGGAACACACAATATAGAGGTCAGATTACTCACCAAGAGTAACGTCTGTCAAAAATAAGATATTGTTGGTTGAGCATCCAATGCTGTGTGCAATCTTTCGATAACTGTCACTCTCCACTTTATGTCCGATTTTGGTGTCAAAGTGACCGTCAACAAGCTGGACAAAGAAAAGAGAACTGACTGACTAGAGATATATTTGTCCAGCCTGGCAATTAGGAACATTTGTTCCTAATCTCTTTATCTCTGAAATACACGGCAATCAGGTGAGTTCACCCATTCAATAAATATTTACTAAAAATCTACTTAACAGAGAACTTTAAGGAGGTAACAAAAGGTGAAGAAAAATTTTTTAACAAACGTTTGGAAGAAGAAAAATACCAGTGCAATGATCTAAGATCATTTTATAACCTGTTTGGTTTGTTTTCATTAGCATTAATTTTATACCTATAATTTTTTTTTTGCCTGCTTCTCCTTTTATTTCTTTAAGATTGTTTTTTTATATTCCCTATACAATTGCACCCCCCTTATTTTGTACCCAATCCCTCCTCTCCCCCCGCCCACCATAGTGTGTCTCTGGTTTATAGTTGCTTGTTGATTTTTATTTTTTCTTATAGTTATTCTTTTTCCTGGGTATACCTATAATTTTATAAGATATGCTTGCCCTATATCCTTAAAAAACATTATTTGCACTCAAACTACTTATTGGACTGGGCTTCACTCCTGATGAAGGGTTTTGAACACTAGCCTTTGATGCCAGAATAAATAGATTTTTCCAACCTGCCTTGTTAATAAGCTATTAATTTACTTTCTAGAAACTTTCATTTTCTAATTAAAATATTTAGAAATTCTACCCAAGAACTAGTAATATCCTTGCCATCTTAGGAATAACTGAGGTCAAACGCATAACTTGCTAATTTAACCCATAGTAATTAAAATAAGTTCACTACTAGGATCAGTTATTATGTTTTTTAAAAAAAGATTTACTTATTTACGCATACAAGAGCTGGAGTATAGGCCAGAGGTGCAGGGGATAAGAGGATTCACCAGAGACAAAGTGGGGAACAGAACAGGCAGATTGAGTGAAATACACTGCTGAGGGGAGCAGCAGGTGAGTCAGGAGAGGTCTGCTGTGCCATGTGGTTTGCTCCCTGGCCAGCCAGGGATCAAACTCCTGCTGCAGAGGCTGCGGACTACTTCTTAGTACTATGCTTAACCCCTTTTGCCATCAGGGAGGCCCCTATAATATGTTATTTTGAATGTTTTTAGAACTTTTCACAAACTAAAAACAATTTTTTTTTTTTTTTTTAACTTTTAAGAATATTGGTTTTATGGGCCTCCCCTGGTGGCGCAGCGGTTGAGCGCTGGGCTGCGAGGCTGCCTGCAGCCTCTGTAGCACCGGTTTGTTCCCCGGCCGCCGGCGAGGGTCCCACCAAAAAAAAAAAAAAGAATATTGGCTTTATGGATTTTCTTTTTCCCTCCAGTCTGCCTTACTTTATGCTGGAGAATCAAGTTTTTATTGTAGAAAATGAGTAAGTAATTATCTTATCCTGTCTATTGCCATCCTATTGTCTGTTCCACACTGAAAGAAGTTTACATCTGTATTTGGAGAATGGTTACCAATAATCAGACTTAATATTTGAATTAGAACTAAGATGAAAATGAGAATCTCCAAAGCCAATGTGTTCTCTGCACATAACAGAGATTCAATAAATACTTCTTTTAAAAAACAGCTGAGTGACCTATTGTATATTGCCACAGTCAGCCTACAATCAGTCAGCATTCTTTTTAAAGTCCTAAAGGTATTCTTTCCCTTCATCCAATGACCACCCTGTCCTCCAGGGGGTGAGGGAGGGGAGGATGGAGGAGCGAGGAGGAATCTTTTTGCATATAAGAAATGTAAATGTAACTATACTAATGTTCAATAATAACATGCCCTGTTCTTTTACATAATAATGTTTCTGCTAAAATAAAATCTGTATTTCTCCAAAGTGCCAAAAACAAATGAATCTACCTTGTAGTTTCCTGCATTCAAGAAGTCTGCCATTAGTTTTCTTTGGATTGATGATATTTCTAATATTGGCAAGACAGCTGATATATAACTGGCTAATAGCTTAAATGTACATAAAGTGGTGGGTTCTAATAGGACCATCATCAGAATCACTTAGGCTAGATCTTTAAAGAAGTGGATTCCTAACCCCCACCCCAGACCTGCCAATTCAGATTTGTTAGTAAGTAGGGTCCAGGAGTCTGCATTAACAAACTCCTCAGGTGATCCTTTCATACAATAAAATTTAAGAACCTCTGGGGCCTCCCAGGTGACGCAAGGGATTACGTCTCAGCACTATAAGCTATCGTCAGCTACTGCAGCAAGAGTCTGATCCCTGGCCAGGGAGCTACCCATATGGTGCAGCAGACCTCTCCTGCCTCACCTGATGCCCTCCTCAGCTGTATATTTCAGTAGATGTGCCTGTTTTGCTCTGTCTCTGGTGAATCCTCTCACCCCCTGTACCTCTGACCTACATCCCACTTCTTGTATGCATAAATAAATAAATCTTTTAAAAAAATTAAAAATTTAAGAACCTCTGATACAAAGATGAATACCACAGAAACATCACCCTTCCCAATAATGGATTCTCATTTTCCCACTTCTCTTTACAACCTGCTTTGCATACATAAAAGCAATAATCTGAATGCTAACTTAGCTTACACCTGTAGCATATTCCTTTCACATTCATTATTTCATGCTTTGATAGCATCAGAAAACAAAGTAACCAGGTAACATACCTCAAGAATATCTCCCTCTGTAGAATGCCCAAATAACAGTTTCTGTGCCTCTACACTCCCTGAGGAATAGATATACACTTTCATTCCAGCCTCTCTCCATTTCCTGACTGCTGGAACTACATCTTCAAAGAACCTAGAAAGAAGACCACCAAGTTAAAATACAAGAACGTTTATCTAGTCAGATAAAATATAGTCAAATAGTGGCAACAAGTTTATTTGTACATAAATGTTTACCATGAAAAGCAAGGCCATAAGACTGTCAACTCTTATAGCTCTAACAGAGTTTTGAGATCACAGAAGATTACAATCAACAATTCAGATGTAAACGAAGTTTCTGACAGAGAGCTATATTAATGACAATTCCTTTACTATAGCACAGTATTACCATACAGTAAAGGAATAAAATAAGAAAGTGATTTTGTTAATTCCCAAGGAATTCATAAAGGCAAACAATAAAACTGTATTATTGTGTAATCTTTGACATAAGTATATCCAATGAGCTTTCAGAAAGCAAGGAAATGCTTTCAGAAACACTGTACCTAATTAAAAAGAGAAAACTACAGGCCAATATCTCTAATGAACTTCGATGCAAAAACCCTCAATAAAATCCTAGCCAACAAAATCCAACAATGCATCAAAGAGATACTTCACCATGACCAAGTAGGATTTATTCCAGGGGCACAAGGATGGTTCAACATCAGAAAATCAATTAATGTACTCCAACACATCAACAAAAAGAAAAATAAAAACCATATGATCATATCAATAGATGCTAAGAAAGCATTCAACAAAGTTCAACATCTGTTTATAATGAAGGCCTTCAAAATTCTTGGGATAAAAGAAACATACTTGAACATAATAAAGGCCATATATGACAAACCCATAGCCAATATCGTTTTCAATGGTGAAAAGCTAAAAGCCTTTCCTTTAAGATTTGGAACAAGACAAGGATGTCCACTCTCACCACTGCTTATCAATATAATACTGGAAGTCCTAGCCAGAGCAGTAAGACAACAGAAAGATATATAAGGAATCCAAATAGAGAAAGAAGTAAAAGTATTTGCAGACAATATGATAATACACATAGATAACCGTAAAAGTCCCACAGAAAAATCAATCAAAATGATCAACCAGTTTAATAAAGTAGCAGGCTACAAAATCAACACACAAAAATCAGTAGCTTTCCTAGATACAATCAATCTGGAGAAGAAATCAAGAAAACCATCCTTTTTATAATTGAAACAAAAAAATCAAATACTTAGGAATAAACCTAACAAAAGAGATGAAGGACCTATATAAAGAAAATTACAAACTTTGTTAAAAGAAATAGAAGGCACAAAGAAATAGAAAGACATCCCCTGCTCATGGATTGGAAGAATTAACATTATCAAAATGGCCATCCTACCAGAAGCAATTTACAGATTCAACACTATTCCAATAAAAATTTCAATGACATTCCTCAAAGAACTAGAACAAATATTGATGAAATTCATATGGAACCACAAAAAACCTCAAATAGCCAAAACTCTCCTGACTAAAAAGGAGGAGAACAGAGGTATCACACTCCCAGAATTCAAACGATACTACAAAGCCATAATAATTAAAACTGTATGGGGAACAAAAAAAACAGACACACAGTCCAACTGAATCGAATAGAAAACCCAGAAATAAACCCACATATTTATGGACAACTACTCTTTGACAAAGGAGCAAAGAATATGCAATGGAACAAAGATCATCTGTTCAATAAATGGTACTGGGGAAACTGGACTGCTATATGCAAAAGAATGAAGCTAGACTACTACTTCACACCATGCACAAAAACCACACCATGGATAAAAGAATTGGACATAAGACATGAAACCATAAAATGAATAGAAGAAAATATAGGCAAAACACTACACGATGGGGCCTCCCTGGTGGCACAAGGGGTTAAGATGCAGTACTATGAAGCTATCTGCAGCCACTACAACACAAGTTCAATCCCCAGCCAGGGAGGTGACCCACCTGGCACAGCATGCCTCTCCTGACTCGCCCTCTGCTCCCCTCAGCAGTGTATTTCAATCTGCCTGTCTGTTCCCCACTCTGTCTCTAGTGAATCCTCTCACTCCCCCCACACCACTGACCTGTACCCCAGTTCTTGTAGGCACTAATAAATAAATCTTTAAATGATATACAACTCAGTAACATCACTAAAAACACATTCCCCAAAGTAAAGAAAGTAAGGAAAAGATAAACAGCTGCAACTACAGGAAACTAAAAAGCTTCTATAGAGCAAAAGAGACATTAACCAAAACAAAGAGACACCCTACTGATTAGGAGAAAAAATTTGCACGCAAAATTACCGATAAGGGACTAATCACAAAGATCTACAAAGAGCTGATGCAATTCAACAAAGACAAAGTAAACAATGCTGTCAAAAAATGTGTGGAAGAGCTAAAAAGACACTTCTCCAAAGAGGAAATGCAAATGGCCAACAGGCACATGAAAAGATGTTCAACATCACTAGTAATCAGGGAAATGCAAATCAAGACTGCAATGAGATACCACCTTACACCAGTGAGAATGGCAAATACTAAAAAACAGGAAAACAGCAAGTGTTGGCGAGGATGTGGAGAAAATGGAACCCTCCTACACAGCTGGTGGGATGCAAACTGGTCCATTCACTATGGAAAGCTGTCTGGAGGTCCCTCAAACTAGTAAAAATGGAGCTTCCATAGGACCCAGCAATTCCATTCCTAGGAATCTACCCAAAGGACACAAAAACATTTATTCCAAAGAATACCTGCACCCCTGTGTTTACTGCAGCACTCTTTATAATAGGTAAGATATGAAAACAAACCAAATGCCCAAAAATGAATGATTGGATCAACAAGATGTGGTACATATACACAATGGAATATTACTCAGCAATCAAAAAAAAAAAAAAAAAGATAAACTCATGCAATTCGCAGCAATATAGGTGACTCTGGAAGAGATTATGCTCAGTGAAACAAGCCAGAAAGCAAAAGAAAAATCTTGGATGATTTCACTTATAGGAGTTAGGAGGAATGTAGGGGAAACAAGGGATCAGGAAAAAAAAATAATTACAGTAAATTAACAGGCAACTATAAATCAGAGCCATTCTGCAGGGGAGGGAGAGGGATTGAAAACGGGGGAGGGAATAGCACAAGGGACTATGGTAATGATACACAGGTAAACTGGTGGTGGGAACTCTACAGAGACTACACCTGAGAGCAGAAAGTATATATTGTACAAAAAGGAAAAATTATGTAAAATATATATAAATTTAAAAATAAATAAAAAATAAAGTAGGATCAAGTCTTTCACCACTCCACAAAGCCAAGCTTGCAGGTCTGGGGAATTTACTGGGAGAAATGTTTGGAAAAAACAAAACAAAATGTAACAAAAACTTGTTAAAGTGAAAAGAATGTCGATTTTCTCTATCTCACTAATCATGCAACTAATACTGGAGAGAGAAGACTAATGAAAAACACATTCATTTTAAAATTGTGAAGCAATCATTTGAGTAGTTACATACTCTGCTTTCATTCGCCCAGCTGCAAAGGCCGCCCTCCACATGTGGCCCTGCAGCTGTTTCAGTGCTGTGGTCTTTCGGTCCAGAGACATCTGCCAGCAAACATTATCCACCACGGCCTGGATCATCTGATGCAAGTCACCATCCGCTCCATTCCCATACCCTGCTGGGATCGGAACAGCCCCATCCAGGTGGGAGTCCTCTTCAGCCTTCAAGTTATAAATAACATCAAGTTTGTGTCCAACTTACTTTTAAAAGATCACTTCAAATAGGACTGGGAAATTAAGTAGACCAACATTCTCCAACTACCATTAACACCCAAAAGAATTCAAATTAAATTCTACAGTTGGGGGCCTTCCCTGGTGGTACAAGTGGTTAAGTCTCAGCATGATGCAGCTAGCGGCAGCCACTGTAGCACGAGTTCAATCCCTGGCCAGGGAGCTAACCCACTTGGCACAGCAGACCTCCCTGTCTTACCCGCTGGTCCCCTCAGCAGTGTATTTCATTAGCTCTGTCTGTTCTGTTCCCCACTCTGTCTCTGGTGATTCTTCTTACCCCCTGACACCTCTGGCCTACACCCCTATTTATGTATGCATAAATAAATAAATCTTTAAAGAAAAAATAAAGTATTCTACACTTGGAATGATACAAAAGATTCCTAAAAGAAACTACAAATGAACAACTTCAAGGGATGGGTTAGAGTGCTGACCCCTGATCCACATATAAGTTTGACTCTCCCAAAACTTAATAATAGTCTGCTGCTGATGACAAGCCTGACATAGACAATTAACACATATTTTGTATATGTATTATATACTGAATTATTACAATTAAAAGTTATAGAAAAATGTTAAGAAAATCATAAGGAGCTCAAATACTGTACTATCATGTACTATCAATAACTATAGATGCCATAAGTTTATCTAGTCAGTTTATAAGAAAATCTGCCTAGAAGTGGACGCACACAGTTCAACCTGTGTTATAAAAGGGTCAATTGTAGATTATAATTAATAAATTTACATTACTTTCCCAATGTTGCCAAAGCTGAAATTTAAACAAAAAGGCATGTTGTATATGAGGAGAGCAGACGTGATATAATGATAAAATAAGACTCTGGTTTGTTGATTCACTTACTAGGACCAACAAACCAGGAGTACAGTTAAATCTGATCATCTTCTCTACGCTATAACTAAGGAAAGAAACAAAGAAAACCTCAATAAAATTAAATTTTTTATGCCTGGGATTCAAAGAAATGAAGCTAGTAATATCTATGACTGGTTCACATTCAGTCCTCTATAATCTCTCACATTTTGCAAAATCTTAATAGCTATTTAGAACAAGAATTCTGTGACAATGCATATATCTAATAACCAAAGACTTAGTGATTTATATATACTAAAGTGAGGGAATAAGTAACGTAAGGGATAACTCAGACTAATCCTGAGTTATCTAGAAAATTCTGCAAATATAAATACTCCATGCCCCAAAGAGTCTGACTATATTTCTAAATCTAACTTCTAACATTAAATTCGTAGAGCATTCCACAAAATCCAATGAAATAAACTAAGTAGAAAGTACTACCAGAAATAAATGTGAAAACTAGCTCCGCACAGCATGCAAGATCTTTGCCACTGAAGCAATTAAAATAAGAAAAACAACAGAACAAGAGTTCTGTAGCACACATTGTGGAAGGAGGAAATAGACTGAAAACCAGGAGAGAACAGAGGCACAGAGCACCTGAGACTAAGGTGGGTAGGAAGGCCAACCATGTGAGCTGGGTAAGGGCTGGAAGGAGGAAGAGTGGGCATGAAGGCCCAGGAGCATGTTGGGAGGGTCAGCAGGGCCTCATGCCAGGTAGTAGAGTTGATAAGGTGGTATCACTGGAGACATTAATGAAAAATGTGATGATACAGTACAGAACCTTTTACATTCCGCCCAGAAAGGATTTAGTTTTATAAATATATGACATCTCTAAGCAGCTGAAACAGCTCCAAAAGGAGGCAATTCTAGCAATAATAAACTGCCCCAATCTGTCTGTTTAATTACAGGCTGTGAATTCCTAAGCAGGCAAGTCATGGCAACTTCCAGAGCACTTGTTTTACAATATGTTCAGAATTTATTCTAAGATTTCAGGCATCCTCAATTCTAAGACACTAGGGAATGTGGAAGCAATGAAATAGAAATGCCCAACCTGTTTCCTCAAAAGATTGACATCCTGCTGGCACTCCTCTTCTTCCCAATGTGTCTGCAGATACTCCTTAACATTTTCTTTGATGTAAGGAAATAAAATGTCCTGGGTAAAAGAGTAAAAGAAAATGTAAGCATTAGCTTGAGTTATTTGCATGAGATCAGGTTCTTCAACAATCTCACCTTAGCTAATTTGAGCAAATAAGCCACTAAAAGTTCCTTTGAAAATATGAAAACTGTTGCTTGGGACAAGTAAGTGAGACAAAGACCAAGCAAGAAATAAATTAACTAGTTCACTAGTCAATTTATAATGATTTAGATCTGGTCTACTTCCCACATTTGTAAATAAAATTTTGTTGAAACACAGCCACACTCACTTATGTCTACTTTTGGACCACAATGGCAGAATTGGGTTTATAGTCTTATATTTAAGATTATATAAACACAAAGAGTGAATTTACTATTCAATGCTTTACCTAAAAAATCTGCCCTCCTTGATGGCAGGAGCAGAATATATGTTACAGCTTTGTCCCCAGTACACTTCACAGTAAGTGAAAGATATACATAACTCAAATATCTGCTGCAAGTATAGTACCCACATGTGGCAAATGTTTAAAATAAAACAAACTGATCACCATGATTCTTGGCAATCAGAATGCCAACAGAATACCCTATAAGAAATTGATGTATAAAGGCAATTCAAAAATAAATAACCTGTCAGTAGTCCATGTCTTGGGAATTTTTACATCCAAGGTCATTTTTACATTTACTTGAGATTATAACATATTTATATTTACTTGAAACTGTAGCATATGTATCAAATGTGGCACATTCAACAATGTTTTTAGTGTCTTCTATATGCCAAGATATGCTAGTCCTAAATGGGGTATGGAGAAAGGAACTGAAAAGTGACATCACAGTTCCTATTCTCAATTAGTTTAAGAACCGCCACCAAAACACAAACACCACTTTTCAAGGTTGTACAGAAAATATTGAAATGTACATGGAACCACATAAGGCTTGAATTGTCAAAGCCACTAAGAAAAAAAGGAGAAAATGCAGGTATCACATTACCTGATTTCCAATTGCACTATAAAGCAACAGAATTAAAAACAATACAGTATAAACACAAAAATAGATACACAGACCAGAACTGAAAGCCCAGAAATAAAGTCACATACGTATCAGTACCTAGTCTATGACAGAGCAGTGATGACTATATTATGGGGAAAGGACAGTCTAAGAACAAAAAGTCTCAGAACCACCAATGGTAAATAGGATTAACCTGCTGTTCCCCCAGAATGGCATCAAGCATGAAAGGCTATCAAATAGAGAATCTGATCTATTGAACATGAGAGTTGAGAGACAGAGGAAGTTTTCATATGTTTCCATACCAACTCAGGGTGTGCAAAAGGCTCTGAAGATAAGCAATCCTATTCCCTGCAAAGGAAGCTCACTAAAGAAGAATATACGCCAATTCATGAGGCACCAGCATGTGCTGGCACAGTAATAGAATACCCACCTCTTCAGAGCAGCACTAACCAGAACCAGCTCACTACCCAACTTTGTGGAATGCAGGGAAGAGAGGAAAACAACTGATGCATGCCTTCTTGCTCTTCCCTTTCAGCCTCTTCCTTATTACAAGCTTAGGGACATTCAATTTTTTCTCACATACTATATTACTAGAAAGCGAACAGTTCCCCTTTTTCAGGGGAACTGAAAAAGGAAAGAAAGAAACCAGGAAAGGAGCCTCCCTGGTGGCGCAAGGGGTTAAGTCTCAGCATTATGAAGCTATCACCAGCCACTGCAGCACAAATTCGATCCCTGGCCAGGGAGCTGACCCACATGGCTCAGTAGACCTCCCCTGTCTCACCTGCTGCTCCCCTCAGCAGTGTATTTCAGTGAATCCGCCTGTTCAACTCCCCACTCTGTCTCTGGTGAATCCTCTCACAGCCCCAAACCCTGCACCTCTGGCCTGTACCCCAGCTCTTATCTGCATAAATAAATTAAATCTTTTTTTTTTTTTTTAAAGAAAGAAACCAGAAGAATTTTTATCTTATTTCTCACTAACAGTCTAGAGGGATGGCATGATTAGGACATAACAGATCAACAAGAATAAAAGGATTTTTGTTTAGTGTACACAGCATTTCCCTGACTAGAACAAGGGCTTGGCAACATAGAATTCTTCCATATTTCAGAAGTCCCAAGGCTTAAGTTCAACTCCCAAATTGAAGTACATAATACAAGAAGGTTATTGTTTTCTTTAAAGTGTTTACCTCTCTTCATGATACCTTATTCAAATTTCACCTGCCTTAGTAAAGATAAAATCACTCAATTTTTCTTGTCCTCAGGTGGAATTCCAGTAAGTAATAGATGATCCAGCAGATTCAGAAACAGCCAAAACAGTGTGATCAGGCAAATTTTTCAGCATACTTGACCAAAAAAAGCCTTGTGGAACTCAATAAAAACTCACTTTTTATCCAAAAGAAGGAAAATGAAGCACTAAGACTGACAGCTTTCTCCTTCTGCAAAAGGTTCTATTTACTCTCCTGATATATTTCTGATTTTTTTCAAATGCTAAGTTTTTTATCATGCCCTATATACATCATGCACATTCTTATTCCTTCCTTCCCCCTACTTAGTATCTTTTTCCTGCTTGTACACTGCGGTAGCACTGTAAACTGGTCCATTTGAGCATGCCATCAGAGATGTTTTAAGACATACATGCACTTCTCTCCTAGACATACACAGAGGAACTCCAACATACTGCCCAAAGAAGAACGTTTTTAAGATGTTTATTGCAGGAGATCTCCTGGTGGCGCAGCCGTTAAGTCTCAACACTATGAAGGAATCCGCAGCCACTACAGTTTGATCCCTAGCTAGGGAGCTGACCCATATGGGGCAGCAGACCTCTCCTATCTTACCCTCTGCTCCCCTCAGTGGTGTTTTTCAATAGATCTGCCTGTTGTGCTCTACACTTTGTCTCTCACCGTTTCCTCCCACCCCCTACCCTCTGGCCTACACCCCAGCTCTTGTATGCATATAGATAAATCTTTAAAAAAAAAAGTTTAGGGGTCTCCCTTGTGGCGCAAGGGGTTAAGCACAGCACAATGAAGCTATCGCAGCCTTTGCAGCATTTCAATCCCCAGCCAGCCAGGGAAGTACCCACATGGCACAGCAGACCTCTCCTGGCTTACTTGCTGCTCCCCTCAGCAGTATTTTCAGCCAATATGTCTGTTCTGCTCCCCACTCTGTCTCTGGTGAGTCCTCTCACCCTCCACACCTCTGGCTTGTACCCTGGTTCTTGTAAGCATAAATAAATAAATCTTTAAAAAAAAAAAAAGTTTACTGCAGCACTGAGTCAAATAGAAAATAATCAGAAATCTAAATCTTTATCAGGTAGAGAACTGCAGTATAGCAGATTCTAAAGCATTATATAGCAGTTAAAGATGAATTTACTAAAATTATAATTACCAATATAAACATAAAACACTAATCCAAAATGGGATTCCCCTCAGGGTTTCAGTTATAACTGTAATGTTTTAAAATCTGAAACAATGTCAAGATTTAGTTAGGGGGCCTCCCTGATGGCCAAGGGGTTAAGCACTGCACTATGAAGCAATCCGAAGCCTCTGCAGCATGAGTTCAATGCGGGAGCAACCCACATGGCACAGCAGATCTCTCCTGTCTCGCCCACTGCTCCCCTCAGCAGTGTATTTTGGTCAGTCTGCCTGTTCTGTTCCCCGCTCCATCCGTCTCGAAAAAAAAAAAAAAGATTTAGTTAGCTTGTGGTGGGTGCAAGCTCACTGCATTAACGTTTATGCTCACTTATTTAAAATGCCTCACAATTAGAAAAAAAAACAGGCCAACTTTGATACCTTATCCTACGCCTTACCCATCTTCACTTGGTCATCCTTCTCCAATGTCCTACCTTTTATTATTTCTCAACTCCCAAGCAAATGAAAAAATTCTCGAGGGAATGCTGTTGGTTAGATCCAGGGCCTCCCAATCTTTAACTAAGAGTTGAAGAACCAAAAGTTATAAAAATTCATATGGTGTACTGTACTATTTTGGCCCTACAAAGTCCAACTTTCCATATCCAGCTTTACGGGTACCAAGAACAATTCAAGAAGAGCCTATGAATTCTGAGGGCCAGTTACTTAACTTCCCAGGAAGAGGAGATAAAATGTACCAACTCCAAGCGGCAAGCCAAGCCAGGTCCTTTTACAGCTAGGCTCAAGTAACAACCAATCTGAGTGCCCATTTTCTCATCTGCTATATGGAATAACAATGGACACAGTCACTGCACAAGAGTCAGACAGACAGAAGAGCCCGAAATCTCATCACTTACTGTATTTCCCAGTGCAGACCAACATTTAAACTAGATAAGGATAAGTTCCAAGCAGATAAATCGCAAGCACAACCAACTGCCTCATTCACCATGTACTGTTCCCCAGGACTCACTGAGTATCAGATACTTCTGATAGTATGTTATGAACCACAGCTCCTTCCTCACAGAAAGGAATAAGAGGTGCAAGAACTCAAATAATTTTCAACTTTTACGAAAAGCTTTAACGTCAATAATTTCTTTAGAATTCCTGATCAATTTACCCCTTTTCTGTATACATAAAATGTCCCTCTGTACTAAGTAAACACACAAAGCTGGACAATGAAGCTAGAACTTTGAACAACATTACCTGGGTTTGGCATATTATCAGAAGGCAAAAGTATTATTGTATAACATTGAAATTCATGAGGAAAATAACTGTGAAGATTTTATTCATTCTTTCAACATACTTATTGGGCATCTACTACGTAATATAGTCCTCAAATTACCTTTATTTAAAGTTAGTAATTCTATCATAGCTTGACATGTGCTACCATATATAAGAATGCACTAGGGCCTCCCCGGTGGCGCAGCGGTTGAGCGCTGGGTTACGAAGCTGCCCGCAGCCTCTGCAGCGCCCATTCGATCCCAGGCTGCTCCCCGGCCACCGGAGGAGGGTCCCGCATGGCGCGCAGACCTCTCCTGCCCTCCTGCCGCCCGCTGCTCCCCTCAGCAGTATACTTTGGTCCTTCTGCCTGCTCTGCTCCCCGCTCTGGCTC